ATGATAATATGTGACTGTGTCTACATTTTTGTCTGTGGGTGACTGTCAGATAAATGGAAAGATATCCACTGGGACTGGGGAGAGGAGATCATAGGGCTGCAAGATTGGAAGGTGACTGAATAGTCAACACTTCTTGGACCTTGCTATTAACTTTTTTGTCAAAGAAAAGCTCCCTATCATCCTCAAGTTGTCTGATCTCTTCCAATCTTTGGACTTTAGTTTCCTTATCTAAATAACGAGAGGGCTAAGTTGGATGGTCTGTAACATACTTTTCAGCTTTAACATTCTGAGGCTAGGTATTATGAATCCATGACTTTTTAGGTTAAGGGCAGCTAGGTGGTGCAGTGCTTGGTTAGAGGGCTGGGCCTGGAGTCAGGAAGTTCTGTGTTTACATCTGGCCTCAGATACTTATTAGTTGTGTGACTCTGGGCAAGTCACTTAATCTCTGTTTGTCTCAGTTTCCTAAGTGTAACATGGGGATAATAATAACACTTACCTCCCCGGGTTGTTGTGAGAATCAAATAAGATAATATTTGTAAAAAGTGCTTAGCACACTGCCTGGCACATAGCAGGCACTACATAAGTGCTTATTTACCCCTGCTCTCCCATATTTGATTATATGTAAAAGAAAGCTCAATTGTATGTTTATACAACTGTGTGTGTACAACTGTACTCTACAAGACTGCATATGAATACACTTGTGTGTCTCTGTGACTGTACATATATGTCTGTCAGCCAGTCAATAAGCATCTATTAAGTGCCTATTATATGCCAGACACTGTGCTAAGCACTATATGATAGAGTTAGTGTTTGTATGTGTTCATCTTTGATGTTGTATGTATACGTTTAATAAATAGAGAATTTCTATCATTTCCCTCTCTGTTTTGCTCACACTGAAGTGAATAGAGCAGGTGCTGTTATTCTCTCTCCTTGCCCTCCATTCACATCTACCTCTCTTGTTCTTGTTTTAGATGTTCTGGCTCACTTTCTTCATTGCCTCTGCTCTGTTAACCAGATCTTTTCCAGAGGCTAAATGTTAGAATTTTCATCCTGGGACCAAGTTGTAGCACCCAGAGGTGATAAGGTTAACTTTTTCTCCCCTCACTGTGTTTCTCCTTCTACCCCCCTCCCTTCCATGATAGAACAGGATCTTCCTGACAATGAAAAATGGAGTGTAGGTTGGGGATTGGGGATCTGCTGGATAGCCTGTGGCAGACTCAGGAAGGCAGATGAAAGGACAGCAATGAAGCATTCTAAGGTTGGGTCTGGCTTTCTTGGGCCTGCTTCCCTATACTTTCTCCTGAAGAGTAGCCACTCAAGCTAGGGAACTCAATATTTAGAAAATGAATTAGAAAGAGTGACCTCAAAGGTTCTTTCTCCTTTCAGGTCCAACTTGGCCACATCATTCTCCTCAATGACATCTTGAAAACAGGCTGATCCTATCTGACACCCTTCACACTTGCAGTATGGGAGCCCCATATCCCCTTTTCCATGTTCTATGGGGTCACATTTTGGCCCTTTAAAAGTGATATTACAACAGCAAACAACTTGCTTTCAGGAAAAGGTAAATATTTAATGAATGAAATTGACATGGATGCATTTTTAATATTGGCACAATTAAAACTGCTAGATGATTAAATATTAATGACTCTGAATAAGTGCAATCAGGTCAACTTCAAACAGAATGAACTCAGTGGTGAGGGGTGAGAGATGAGAGCAATTCAGAACAGAAGTAACAGACAAGTCAAATACACACAAGCCACCAGGAACAGTCTTACTCGGTGTTTGTTTAACAATCTTCAGACACTGCTGTGCTTATTTATTTCGCTCAGCCAAGGATTGAGGGAAAAATCATTAGTATGTTCAGCTTTTTTAAATCATGAGGAAGAAAACAGAAACTCTCAAAAAGAGTAATAATTGATATTCATAAAGTCCCTTGCGATTCTTCAAAATGCTTTTCACATCAAATGTGAAAATTGAGTTAAAGCCCAACTCGCCATTAACGAATTTAGTTTCCACGAGAAAGACAGGCAATAGATTATGATTTCCATTTTACAGGTGAGAAAACTGAAGCTCAGAGAGGAGAAATAAAAAGATCACATGGCTAAGGAGTGGTCAAACCAATGCCAGAGCCCAGATGTCCTCACTTCTAGGCTTATTTTTTTCTATTATACCATGATCCCTCTCTTATATAGCCACTTTGCTTCAGGATCCAAGGGAAAATATTAGGTATAAATTAGTATGGCTTTCGGTGCTTGAAAGATGAGGATTTCAAGTGAGTCCCTTTGAGTGTATCTGACAGACAAGATATTTCTCAAGCATACTCCTGAAACTAGAAAACAGGGAGATCTGCTCCAGACAGAGCTTCCCAGCATTAGGGAGCTTGAGCAATGGACTTTAGGTCCAACACTATTTGAATCCCTGATCCTAATCAAATGTGTATTGGCTGCCTCCATGATCATGATCTCAGATATCAGAAAAGGTTCAATAGGGCCCCACCACTCCTGGAAAGCAAAGGGTCTTTCCTATGGATATGAAAGCATATTTCAGCTGAAGCAGTCTCTTGTATTTGAGTTTCATCAGGAGTCCCAGACATTTAGCTTCCTTTTTGGAAAAGGAGGCTATTTACATATGTGTGACAGGGAGACAGAGATAGCCAGGTGGATGCATAGATAGGTAGCCAGAGAGTCAGTTAAGAAGGCAGACAAATAGATGGATATATAATGGGAAAGTCAGAAACACAAGCTGGAAGAAGCGCTGCTAGGTAGAAAGATAATTGGACATATTGAAAAATGGATAGAAGGCCAAATGGAAAGACAATTGGACAGAAAGATAGACGATTAGAGGGAAATATGAATGGACAGGCAGAAAGAATTAAATGGATAGATGGATGCAAAATGATAAGCATGGATCGATGGATGGAGGAAAGGAAGGAGAGTGGGAAAGAAGGAAGAAGGGATGGATGGACAGGAAGACAGGCAGAGAGTCATATAGCTATATGGTGGCTTTTAGAAAGAACTTGACTTGGATGAGGGAGGGCTCCTCCTATTGCACAATATTATTATTCTGTCTTTGGAGCCTGGGGCAGCACAGAAAGGGGAAAGAAGTTGCCTCCTTGGGAGGAAAGGAAAGTGAGAGGTGCCCCTCCCCTGCCCTGGCCATCCCGTGGTGTCATCAAAGCTGCCCTTCTCTCAAGAGAAGCTGTTTAAATTGAGCAATGCTTTAGACAAACTGGGCTCCTCTCTGTCTGTGGGGCAGGGGCTCTGACATACCACTTCCCATCTCAATCAAAGGTTCCTTTTCCCATGGCTCAACTGCAGCCCTTGGGCCTCTCTCCTCCTGGGCTTTTCGGAGGAAAATAGCTCACAAAACACTTCCCCTTTAACATGCTGTCTGAAGAAAATGATTAGGAAGTGTTATGGGTCCCTTCCCACAGTAACTACAGAACTCAAAGGCTACAGGAGGCCAACAGCTTGCCTCCCAGGTTCTAGCCCCTCACTCTCCTGATACAGCGCTGGCTCTGTGACTTCACGCACTTGTTTCCTCTCACTTCCCTGGGCAGACTTTTTCCCTGGATGTAAACAAGCCTCCTTCCTCCCTCCCACATACCCCACCCAGATGAAGGGGTGTGGCCAGCAAGGCAGCCCCAGCCCCCTCTCCAACCCATTCCAGCTGAGCTCCCAGGGACCTGGTGATGGGTCTGGAAGGGGGAGGTGGAGGAAATGTCATGAGGTGTGACAGGCAGGTGGGCAGGTGTCTGAAGACACAGACCATCTGCTTCCTCTTATATGCTCGACCCTTTCTCCACCAAAACCACTCAAGCTAACTCCCTCCACTTTTCCCAGCCCCAAATCCAGCCCCAGGATGAGTTTCTGAGGGAGGTGGGGGAGGGGAGAGGGAGAATCAGGGTGAGATAAAGAGGATTTAGAAGGTGGAGAGGGAGGAGCAAGGGGGTGCAGGGAAGAAAGCACAAGGGGAGTAGAGGGGGAGGATAAGGGAAACATTCAAGGACTGGATTACAAGATAAAAGGAAGTATGAGGGAGTGAGGTAGGCTTAAGGGAAGCTAGGGGCAGTTGATAGAGTCAGGAGTTTGAAGGCAGTAGTGGGGTCTGGGTTGGGAGGTCAGTGTTCCAAGCTGGAGTCTGAGGATATTGGACAAAGAGCTTTTGGGGTTTGATCAAGAGTGTATCTGGATCCTGAAAGGGGATTGGAATTTAGACAAAAAAAAAAACCCGGGCATTGGGAGGTGAGGGGTTAGGTTAGGTCCCATAAATCTGTAGGTGGGAGCCTTGGGTTTTGGGAAATTGTTAGGGTCATATTTTATGTTTGGAAGAGCAAGTTTAGGGCCTGGGTTGAAGGAATTGGAGTTGGGGTCTGAGAATCAAAGAAGCAGTCTCAAACTGAAGTCCAAGGGTACCAGGGGAGTGGTTTATACTTGGAGTCAAAATAGGATTTTGAGGGTTCAGAAAGATTTAAGAGCCTAAGTTATTGAGGTCCAGAGAATAAGTTAGGACCTGAGATGAGAAAGGTGTTAGTGTTGGGGTTTGAGAGTAGCAAGGTTCAGCGGGGTATGGAATAGGAGTTGGAAGTGTCATGGTTGGTGCGGGTTTCTGGGTTCTAAGGAATCCAATAAAAGGGTAGCAGGGGAGTGTTTGAGAGGTTTTGGAGTCCAAAGTAGAGGGTGCAGGAGAGGTTTGAATATCCTTGAGGGATCCAAGGCCTGGAGAAGGGGGAGAATGGGGATTCTTAGGGTGTTAGTAATGGAAATGGGGTGAGGGGTCACGTGTAGGGGGTGTCCAGAGTGTGGGGGACAGATTCTGGAGTGGGTGTGATTTAAGGACCGGAGTGGGAAGTTTAGGGGTTTTGAGGGTGCCTAGTGGGGTGGATGTCCGGCATCTGGCGTGGAGGGTAGGGTAGTGAGGGATCTGGAAGTTGGGGTAGGTTGGAGGTCTTATGCGAGGGGCTCCAGAATGAGTGGGGGTCCGTTTCGGCAGCCCACCTTTGTGCACACCCGTGAACCTGTCCTTCAGCACCGTCAGCTCGTAGATTTTGCCGAACTCCTCAAACAGGGGCTTGAGATCCTTCTCCTCCAGGTTCCGGGGAATCTGCCCCACAAACAGCTTGATGGCGTCGTGGTCCTTCATGGGGATCACGGGGCCGGGGCCGTGCCCAGGGCTGAGACCGGTCATCCTGCCCGAGCCCCCGCTGCTGCCGCCACCACCACCACCACCACCACCACCACCACCTCCTCCTCCTCCGCCGCCGCCGCCGCTGTCCGTGGTGCTGAAGCCGGGGCCGGGGCCGGCTGGCGGCGCCGATACTCCGTTGGGCACCGCGGCCATGTCCCCCCTCCCCCCTCCCCGAACCCCGCCCCCCACCCCCCCAGCTGCCCGGGGGCCACACGCCCGCCCACCGGGTCCTGCTGCCCTCGCTGCGGGGGGCGGGGGGGCAAGAGGAAAAGGGGGGCGGGTCCCGCTGTGTTCCCTTTCTCTCTCTCTGGCTCCTTTCCTCTCCCTCGGCTCTCTTCCCGTGCTCTCTCCGAGCCCCCCCTCTCCTCCCTCTTCTCTCTCGCTGGCGTGCTCTCTCTCAATCCTCCCCGCCTCCTTCCTCCTCCCTCCTCCCCCCCACCCCCCTCCCCCAGCGGCTGCTGCTGCCACAGTGCCTGATGACGTAAACCTGCTGGCCCCGGACCCTACGCAAGCTATTAGCATAATGAGGGAGCGTGGTCCAATCAGAAGGGAAACTAGCAGGGCCAGGTCCGGGGCTGGCTGAGGAGGCGTGTGGGGAGGTGGGGAAGAGGAGGTGTAGGGAGGGGAGCAGCCTGGGCTCACGCTTGCTATGGCAACAGAAGCACGGGGCGGGGGAGAAGCTGTGCGTGCGTGAACCTGTGAGTGTGTCTGAGTGTATGTGCCTGAGAGTGTACGTAGGTGTGCCTGTGCTGTGGGGTGCGAGTGGAGGGAGAGGGGGAGAGGGGACACAGCAGGTGGTGATAAGGCAGTCCCTGTTTTCATGTTTTTTGATTTAGGGGAAATCACAACTTGCACATTTATTACACAGATACGTGCCAGGGTTGGTCATACCAAGTCATATGCAGAACTGCAAGGCGGTGCACAACATACACATGGGCACTTGCTTTTTGCTTTGTGTGTGGTCACGTTGCTTTGTGTATCTATCTTCTAGCATCCATTTTCACCTGTGGGTTACGTTCATTTGCGTATTTTCGTGTTTTACTGGAACTTGCAGATCGTAAGCCCCCGTAACTAATAGATTGAATTTCAGCCCAGAGTGCGAAGGTCAGAGCCCATAGAGCCTAGGAAATCTTAACAAGTCAATAAAAAGAAGAGGCAGTTCCTGGGGGCAGTCTGCTGAAACACTCTAGGACAAGGGGATAGTCAGGGTCAGGAGGAAAAGAAGCAGAATCTTAGAGCAGAAGTGCCCAAGATATAGAATATACCTGATGTAACCATTTAATAGCTCATATAACATGGAAATGGGTAGAGGATTAGGGTGGGCTGGGCATTGTTCCTTTCAGACACCCCTGCCCGGCGCAATCAGATATGTATCTAACACTTGTAGGCACCATCAGATTTCCTAAAGCTAACATCTTGACCCTTCAACATCTCTGCCCTTCTCTGGGGAAAGAGTAAATGCACATGGACGTGAAAATTTCAGAGCTGTCTCCACATCATCTTTCTACATTTCTCTGCCTCTAAACCTATCAGGCAGAAATAATAGGAGAGGAATTGAGAATTGGGGAGGGGAGAGGCAGAGGCTGCATTTGGGATTAGGGGATTTGGAGTCAAATGATCAAAAGGTGCAAGTGTCTGAGGGTTCTCTAGGTTACCTTCCTTCTTTCATTGGCAGACCACTCCTTCCTCTTTCTCTCCCACTGTAGAGAAACTAGGGGAGGGACAAAGGAAGACAAAATGCTGGGGACTTCTTAAAGGTTCAGGAGTGAGGTTGGAAGAGTCAGGAGCATTATGAAATCTAACAACATAAGAGTTTTTGGGGAAACCAGCGCCAGAGTTTCCGTTGTCACACAAATACACACACACACACATATACACCCCCCTACATTCTACTCTACCCTCAAGCACCTGAACTTGAGTACATGTGCAATCACACAGCTAACTCTCTATTCACATACAGACACACCTGAATTTATAAAGTGCCCCTTATATTAACAGTCCAATTGACAGGAATAGCTGGAAACTCTGGGATCTGCCAGGATTTGATGATTAGGGCAGACATAACTCCAAGTGAGAAATTGAGGCAAAGGCAAAGGTGAGAGAATAGGCTGGATCTAACTGTTGCTATGGAGAAGGCAATAAGAATTTTAACCTCTAATGGGAAGGTAGGAACATGTCAAATGATCTTTGGTGGCTACACACAGACCTTTCTTTCTATCTCCAGCACTCATCACAATGTCTGGCATATAGTAAGTGTTTAATAAATGCTTGTTTACCAACTTACTGAAAAGAACACATATATTTCACATAGATACCCATAAACATATATAGTCATAGTCTTATGTTCAGAGACAGGTGCGTGAATAGACATTAGCATTCACATTCTACATACATGAAAGGCCTTGAGTTGATGTCATATAAGAATTAGTTGAAAGAAGTGGTCATATTTAAGCTAAAGAATCCTCAAGGGGAACATGATGGTGACTACAAGTATTTTAAGAACTGTTTTGTGGAGGATTAACTAGACTTGTTCTGTTGGCCCGAGAGGGTAGAACCAGGAGCAGTGAGTGGGAGTTGCAAAGAAGTAAATTTAGATTTGATATTAAGAAAACTAACAATTAGAGAGATTGTAATGTGGAATGGGCTGCTTTAAAAGGTTGTGAGTCCTCTTTCCTTATGAGTCTTCAAGAAAAGGTTGTATGACCATTTGACACATATGTTATAGTGAGGATTCCTCTAATATATGGATTAGACTAGGTCAACGAGGTCCACTTCAAGCCTCACATTCTATGATTCTGTGCTTCTATATCTCATATGTTCACATGACAGAATGCATGTCAGGAACATTATATACACTGTTATTTATACAGGGAGAGGCTTATCAGTAGGACATGGGCTTCTGAGCTGTGCCTCTAATAATAGGAATAGGCTCTACTGAGCCATTGATATTCTCTGTCATTCTCTTGGAGGGGAAGAAGAAAGGACTGTAGAGGATCCCTTAGGACCTTCTAACCTAGGAAATTAGCTGGGATGTGGCCTCCACATCCAAAGATGAGAGAAATTAGTCTGGATCTAGAAAAGATTAGGTTGTGTGCACACATTGTGCATAAAATTGGGGGTTCCAGATAGCTGCTCTATGGTGCTTTAAGGAAAGAGCACACCAAGAGAGGTCTGTTCCCTAAGCTACTGGAGCCCTTGATCAGTTGTTCATTCTATTCAGCCTTTTTCCCACTCTCTTATTATGGGATCCCTGGAGCTGTGAAATGATAAAGTTGAGGGCTGTCCCAATAATCACATCTGGGGTGTAAAAAGAAGATTCAGTAGAGCATTAAGGCAAAAGGCTTGAAAGAAATTATAACATTCATGAGAGAAGGGTTGGTCCAGATGTATCACAAGGTAAACTGAGATGCACTGTAGGAGGTCCCCATAGACACCGCTGGGAAGTAAGATCCTATGGAGGCAAGACTCCCTAAAGAAGAGAAAGTGAGATACAGTGAGTTACGGGATAGAGATGGGAGGGATATAGTAAGGGAAGCAGAATAGGGTCAGAGGACCTGGATTCAAATCCTGCCATTGATGATTACCAACTGGTTAACTTTGGGCAAGTCACTCAAGCTCCCAGGGCCTTAGTTTCTTTATCTGTAAAATGAGGTTGGACTAGACAACCTCTGAGGTCCCTTTTAGCTCTAAATCTTTGATCCTGTGGTCTACTTTCTTAAGATATGTATAAAGCATCTTGGATTTCATGACAGCCCCAGTCTGTTTGCAAAGTTCTCTCTTCTCAGCCCACCACATCTTTATTCCACCACTCTATCTCTTAATTCTTCATCTATCCCATCACATCTATTCTCTTTCCCCTGATTCCTTCACAAACAGAAAAAAAAATCAGTCCTCAGCTGCTAGGATGGGTGCAGGAAGGACCATAGAATCCTAGATTTAGCACGGGGAGGGACCTCAGTTCTGTCTACCTCACCTCTTTCTACCCCTTCATTTTACATATGAGTAGACTGAAGCCCGGGATATTACATAACTTGCTTAAAGTAATTTAGATAATAAATAGATCCAGGATTAGAACTTAGGCCCTTTGACTTCAAATTCAGAGCTCTATCCACTCTGTCATTGTTCCATGATGGGACATGTGGATGTCACTGTTGATCAAATAAATTGCTTAAGGGTATAATGTTATAAAAATAGCTTGCATTATTTACTTTTTAAAAAGGTTTACAAATAATTTTATGTTATCTTATTTGATCCTTACAATAGTTATATGAAGTGGCTCCTATTATTATCACCATTTTACAGATATGGAAACTGAGGCTTACAGATATTAATTTACTTGTCCAGGGTCAAACATTTAAATGTATCTAGGTGGGGTTTAAATCTATGTCTTTATGACTCTAACTCGGTTGCTGTGGGTATCTTTTTCATCTGAAGAGACAGAAAGAGGATCCCAAAAGGGGAATTTTCACTAAACTTCTTGCCTACACATAAGTATTTTTTTGGTCTTTCTGACTTAGACTCAGAGCTAATCTCCATAGGATTGTCTCATCCCTCTCAATTTTCCATTACCCCTATAACTCAAATTGAACAGCTTCAGTTTAGTCTGTGTGCAAAGTACCGTGTTGTCTATCACTATGTGCTTACTTATCTTGTTATAGCTATATCTGACATTCACGTGAGAGGCTGTGTAATGTTCACTAGAAACCAAAATATTCCCTTAAGGTGGAAATGTATCATTGACCTCCCTGTACCTTTTACCATTGACCTTGAATGTGTGGCTTTGTGTGAGACCAGGTGACCACATGGTCCTGTTTGGGTAAGACCATGTCACTGTAACTATAGCTTTTTGCATGTGAGGGGGGTGTGTGTCTTTGTGAAGTTTTTAGAGTCATGATTCATTTTGGTAGATAAGAAAATGTTGAGAGGTCATATGTCATGGTGCTAGAAATAGTCCAAATAGTCCTGGTATCAGGAGACCTATGTTTGAATCTTGGTTCTGCCTCTTACTAGTTGTGTCATCATGGCAACTCATTTCACCTATTTCAGTCTCAGTTTCCTCATCTGTAAAATAAGGAGAGTAATTCTTTCATATAAGGTTATTGTGAGGAAGGTACTTCTGTAGGGCTTAAAGCTCTATAGGAACAAGACTTACT